GCCGGTGTGTCCGGAGCTCGTCGGCCTGCAGCAGGTGGATGCAGCCTGTAGCGTTTCGGAGGTGGCGGCGAGGCGCTTGTTTGCCTGCTGCCTTTCCCGAGATCGGTGCCGATAATGTGTTTTCTGGTTCCGTAGTTGTGCTCTGGAGAGGAAACTTTCTCATGTGCTTAAATTTGTTTTTGTAGCTTTGATACTTTGCTGGTTATCGTGCTGGCATTATCTAATGAATAGATGAGTGGACGTGGGTTTTTTGCTATTCTTTTTTTTTCCACTTCCCCTTAGCAAAGATTGCATTATACCTGTATATGTATAAGGTGTAGTATTTGAGCTATATTTATGAATTCTAAGAAAACTTGAAATGCAAAAATTTAAGAAAAAGTGATGAAGGTGACAGTTCAGGAAGATGTATCATCTCTGATTAGAGCTTCTCTAAGTAGTCTTAACAATTTTAATTTTTTTTTTGTGTTGTTTTTTTTTTTTTCCTGGACTTAAACCTCCTAGTTATGCTCACACAGGCTGGAATTTATTATCCTTCCATGAAACATGAATGACTAATAAACTTGCTAGTTTGGATTAGTTGAGCAGCTAACTCATGCAAATATTCCTAACTTGCAAAAATACATGGGAAAAAAGCGTCGGAACCTAATAGTTTTGTATTGGCAGTTCAATAGACTAAATAATACACAAGGTGGGGTTTTTTTAATTTGTATTGGTTATCCCTATTTGTGAATGGATTGGGAACCTGCAGAGACTTTTTCTGGTCTATAGTGTTGCATTTTTGTGTATGCTGGTAGAAGACAGAATTTCTCAACAAGTGGAAGATAGACAGCTTTAGCATTATTGTCTCTACGTTCGAGTCTGGCAGGCTCTGGGGAAGCGTGGTATGGTAGTTGTATGTTTGCTGAGTCATCTGTTTAGCCAACAGGACAACTTAAATAAAAGCAACAAATGAACAAAAGTAAAACCAGGCTTTATTGTTTTTGCCTTTTTTACATATTGCCTTTTAGAGTGAAACGCATCAACCACAGTGCTAAGAGGAATAAGTACATTTGGTCTATCAGAGGAAATTGAGGGCCTTTGATTTTGAGGTAAAGTGACTGTCAAGGCACACTCCCAATTTGAAACTTTGTTGCAGCTCCTAGTTTTGGTGGTAGCTGCTGAATAACTTGGAGCAATCCCTTTTTTTGTTTTGTTTTGTTTTGTTTTTCCTCCTACTTGTGGTGTGTGGGGTGGTTACAGGCTTTGAGAGACAGTAGTTTGTGAGGTGTGGTGCAGAGTTACACTAATGGGGCCCTAACGTCAGTGTCTGTGTGCCACTGTGCTGTAATTTTTTGGGGCTTCGGCGATGATGCCAAGCCTGCAGTGCCGTATCAAGTGGAACAGCAGGGCTCACACTGTGTCAGCTTGTGGCACACCCCTTAGAGACTGAGCATGTCCTGCTTTGGAACACCTGCCAAAATGGCTTTTTCGATTAAAATGAAAGTGAGCTGGGTAGATTCATGAGGAACATAACTTTATTTTCGTATGAATGAGATGCTATGTGGTGGTTTAAGGTAGACTGGAAGTTGGAGGAGTTGTACCCTATTCATTGTTGTTGCTTGTTGCAATCCCCCCTCTAGATTATCACTTGGAGCCTGTATCTGATGCATGTTTCAGGCTATTTCTTGCTTCCTTTGCCCTGGTACTCAGATTTAAATCTGGTTAAAGAGAATTCTGAGGGGAGCAATAATTTTCAGTTTAGCAAAGATACTACATACTCTTAAGTACTGATATTTTTGTGATACTTTGCTAAACTTCTAAGTGATATGTCAAGATGCTGAGTTAACATAGAAACTAGGTTCCTCCTAACTTTAAAAAAACCCGATCTACATAAATTGCAAAAATTATCTTTTCTCATAACAAATTCTGTGTTGTCACGGTTGTACAAAGAATTGATTCTTCAGTACTATTCACACTGTGAGAGGAGCTGTACACTTAATGTGTTTTTTCCTTGTTGTGGAGAAATGGCAGACTAGCTAACTTTTGAAAAGAGCTTTATTTTTAGAACTAGATTTCCTAAAATCACAGCTGTTCCCACTACAGTTTTGTTACTTGACTTCTAGAAGAGAGTGTACGTGAAGATACTTATTTTCTAGTGATTAAACTTTGATATCTGTATGAGTCTTAAACAAGCTTTAAAGGTTATTTTTCTTAAAACTCTTCTGTTAATATTTAGCCTCTTTAGAAACTATTAGATAACTGAAAAACTGCATAAACCTTTTTTTTTCTTTCATAGACAATGATTTGCAAGGAACAAATAGTTCGGGATCATTGGGTGGTCTTGATGTTCGTAGACGAATCCCTATAAAGCTTATCTCAAAACAAACGAATAAAACCAAACCTGCAACTCGAACTCCGAGAAATATGAACAGGATGCCTTCAAAGACACAAGCTGGTGATGAAGGTAAATTAATATAAATATTAGCCCTGTAGTAGGGAAGTGTATTATTCTGCAGCATTGTTCAAGACCTTATTCAGTCTTGGAGACTTGAAGAGTCTTGGAGACCTCAGAGTCCAAGGTTCTGTACAAGTGCAAAACAAGTTTCAAATTTCTGGGTACTGCTCTACTATAAGGATTAAATGGTGCATATTCCCAAAACAGACAGTCATACTAGTTTGACACTACCTTTCTGTAGAATTGACCTACGAGATTGGAAGTGCTGTGACATATCTTGATGATTTCGGTATAGAATGGCACATGTTCTTAATAGCAGCCGGTGTCAATTACGAGAGTGTTGTGGTCGGCTCGTGTCTTTCTTCTGTTTCTTCTTTCCACAGAAGAATTTGATTATAACAAGGAGGAGCGATACGAATGCAAAGGAGGTGAAATGTTTGGCAATCAAAGGAGATTCCCTGGACCCATCTTTTGGGACTATAAGGTAAAGTCATGGATGGGAAGTCATGAATCTTTGTGAATCATATCAAAGTGTAGGTGGTCCTGGTAGATAGATTCTTAAATAAAAGTACTTCCATTATTTTTGACTGACTGAAAATATATCCTCTGCTTTCTAACGTGTGTGGTGTTCTTGCTTCTGTCTCAACTAATTCAGAAATAATGGGTGTGTTGGTGATAATTGAAATGAGAAGCTTTAGTGATGTTGGGTTTTGTCTTCCCACCCCTTCTCTATCCTATCAGATAAACTTGCTGGGGGAAAAGGATGATACACCAGTCCATTTCTGTGATAAGTGTGGATTGCCCATCAAAATGTATGGACGCATGGTGAGTGAAATTATCAGTGGAAGATGCAGCTGAGGTTTCCCGTTAGGTAAAATTAGGTTTTACTGTGTCTCTGTGAGGCCTTCAGAGGTTACTGATTTCAACAGGCCTGTGAATAAACAGCAGAAAAATAACAGGATGGAACCAAGGGACTTCATTGCTGAAGTGGTTTTGGTTTTTTGTTCCATCTGTCTGTCTGATTTCACTTTACCCCCTGATTTAAAAAAGTAAGCTTGGAAAAGTTAAACAAAAAATCAGAACACTATCACCAACAAAAAACCACTTCAAGTTCATTAGGTTTTGACCTTACATGGCTTAGCTTTAAAAATAAGCTCTTTATCTCAATTGAAGATCTACAATGAAGTTAGAAAACACTGTTCACTTTTTTGTTCCTTTAAAATTAGTGTAACAAAATCCCTGACATTAATTTAGTCCAGTGTGATGTAACAGGCTTCAGGATCTGACTTAATGACAGTTAATGCTTTTAAAATGTCCCTTCCTTGCCAGCAAGACAAGTGTAATTAGATTGCATATGCAGCTTCTGTGAATGTTTAGTGTTGGTACTATTGCAATACTTAAACTTTTGCCTATATGTTTTTGCCAACACTTAAAAAACCCAAACAAGACTACCACAAAAACCACCAAACTCAATGCAAACTGTTTTAGAAGGCTTCTATGTACAGATGCTGTAAACTACTAACTACCACTATGCCTGTTCACCTCATAGGTAACTTATTACTTTTATTATTAGAAATTGTGTGCGGGAAGGAGGAACTGTATTCTGCAAAATGACATAGATATTTATATACGATATCTTAACACAGCCATTTTTTGTCTCTAGATACCTTGCAAGCATGTTTTCTGCTATGACTGTGCTATACTACATGAGAAAAAGGGAGACAAGATGTGTCCAGGGTAAGTTATGTCAAGATTTGCTATTAAAGGAAATATAGGAAGGTAACTTAGATATTTTAGATACTATATTACCATGGTTCTTATTTGTGTACATTCAGCAGAGGCAGTAGAGTACTCTACTATACCACTTCATTATAGTTTCATATCCTGTATTTTGGGATTGTAAGAGATCAGTATTTACTTTGCTGTTTAGGTATTTGAGTAGATAACCGGTTATTGCTCTAATTTGAAAAGGAGTGAAAGGCAGTTTAACTTAGTGAGAGTGACTCTTGATAAGTCTTAATGTGCAGAAGGAATTTATGAGAGAGAGTAATGCTGTCTATAAATTTCCACCTCATGAAATTCTTTGTTTTTCATAGTTGTGTTTGGAGATGTAAAAACTAGATAAATTTCAAAATCAGTGAAATATTTCTTGCACTGCTATAGTGGGGAAAAAATTGTCAGTTCTAATTTGGGTCATTACGATAAACTGGTTGACTTTTAACTAAAAAAAAAACCCTGCAGATTGATATCTCTGTGATGACAATAAACCAATATTCTTTTCTGATTTAGCTGTAATGAACCTGTGCAGCGAATTGAGCAGTGTGTACGAGGGTCTCTCTTCATGTGTAGCATTGTTCAAGGGTGCAAGAGAACTTACCTGTCACAGAGGGACTTACAAGCTCACATCAACCACCGTCATATGAGAGCTGGAAAGCCTGTTACTCGTCCTCCAATTGAACCTGTACATCCTCCTATTGCCCCACCGCCTGCCGAAATTCCTGAGCGTTTCATAATGCCACCTGAGAAACATCATATGAGCCACATTCCGCCAAAGCAACACATCATGATGCCACCACCTCCTTTACAGCATGTGCCACATGAGCATTATAACCAACCACACGAAGACATTCGTGCACCTCCTGCAGAGTTGTCAATGGCTCCACCGCCGCCTCGCCCTGTCAGTCAGGACACCTTCCGTATTTCAACAAGAAAACACAGCAACTTAATAACTGTCCCTATTCAGGATGATTCGAATTCGGGTGCTCGAGAACCACCTCCACCAGCGCCCACACCTGCTCATCATCATCCTGAATACCAGGGTCAACCAGTGGTATCGCACCCTCATCATATTATGCCTCCACAGCAACATTATGCACCGCCCCCACCCCCACCTCCACCTATAAGCCATCCACTGCAGCATCCTCCCCAGGCAGCAGGTACTCCTCACATGGTATATAGCCAAGCTCCTCCACCACCAATGACCTCTGCTCCTCCTCCAATAACCCCGCCACCTGGACATATCATTGCCCAGATGCCACCGTATATGAATCATCCTCCTCCAGGACCTCCCCCTCCTCAGCACGGAGGCCCACCCGTAAATGTAAATGCCCCCCCTCCCCACCACTATAATCCTAACTCTTTGCCACAGTTCAGTGAAGATCAAGGAACTCTTAGTCCCCCTTTCACGCAGCCTGGGGGAATGAGTCCAGGGATATGGCCAGCTCCGAGGGGGCCGCCTCCACCTCCAAGGATGCAAGGGCCTCCTGCTCAGGCCCCAATTCCTGGACCACACCACCCTGATCAAGCCAGATACAGACCCTATTACCAATGATACAAGCAATTATATGAATAGAGTGCTATGAAGAGGATAAAACTATATACAACAGCCTTTTAATTAATTGTTGGGGGGTTATTTTGTTGTGTTTTTTCTTAAGTACTGTCATTTTGACTGTAAGACATTTTGGGGTTTGAATCTTAAATGATTTTTAAGCCTTGACTGTAAGACTCTTGACTTCAAATATTCTGTAGTGCTAAAATAAGTGGCTTAGTAGACCACGGTTGCATTTTAACAGAACTTCTGTCTCTAGTGTGGCTAAATTGTCCTAAGATGAACACTTGTAATATTATTTCCTGGAGCAAATGAACACGTGTTGTACCATTCTGAATATTGTTTTTGTTAAATCCAGTGTTTAGTTTCACTTGTGATATGTTTTTGTTAACCTGTGTACAATAATTAAATTGAAATATGGTTGTAAAAGTGGTGGGGTTTTATGTGAAGTTAACACAGACATAGTTCCAGGACACCATTTTGGCACTAATACTTTCCAAATGGGCAGCATAATGAAATACTATGGGAACTTTAATATTTCTCCTGCTAACAGTTACCATTACTTGTGATGATTTCAGGCTATGGTGAATCTATGGCAGTGGAAATCAGACATGCAGAATACTGCATTTCAGCTTTTTTCTTTTTTTTTTCTTTAAATTTATGCAGCAAGATAAATTGAGCAGAAATATAGCTTCAGGCATGATGTGAAACCATGCAATAATCTACTGTGGGGTTTGGTGGTGGTTTTTTTGTTTGATTTTGTTTGGGTTTGGGGGATTAGGTTTTGGGGATTTTGTTTGTTTGTTTTAAAGTTAGTTTTGATTCAGAAGGTCCTGTTTACATGTACACTATTCACTGGAGTTGTATTCAAGCTATTGTGTTTACCTATAGCTGTGTTTGTGTGGAAGTGGCTGTGAATTGGTTTGCCATGTCTGTGAGAAGCAGATCATTTCAGGTAGGGAAGTGGTGTTTGCCTCTGTCACTTTTATATACTATGTACAGTAGGAAAACTTGCCATTTGGATAACCTGAAAGAATTGGTCTGAAATCCCGTATGTGGATATAAAGAAATAAATAGCTACACATCCTTTTTCCGGTTTGATTTTGTGATACAGATTTAATTGAACAGACAATAGTTAGGTGGTTTGTTTTGCGTTTTTTCAAAAAGTAGCAATATAAGCAGGCCCTTGGGTCTGTTTTGGCCCAAAATGTATGTTTTATAAGCATAGTCTTGAAGAGAAATAATATAAAATGACCATGGTTTTTTTTTTTTAGTGCAGCTGGTAGCGGAACTGGACAATAAGAAGACAGTACTGTCTGTGGTTCAGAGTGCTTATCTTTGCATTTCTAATCGATATTAGTGCTGAACCTTTGTTTCTTCAAAATGCAACATTTCTAGCAGTGGTGCATTTAGATGAAGAAATCCTTTGGGTTTTTTCTAAGGTTTGTACTTTCCTACTGTTCTCAAATAATCTGAACCATCTTGAAGCCTCAGTTTTACTATTTATTTTGTAAACCTTTTTTCCTGCCTCATAAATGTTAAATTTATGAAAGAGCTTTGGCAGTGCAACATTCCGAGTTTTGTAATTTTACGTATAAACTGCGTATTTTTAATTACCAGAGCAAGAGGCTCTTTATTTTTAGTCTTTATCCTTGACTGCCATTGATTTCCTTGTGACTACAGGCAAATCTTTTAGACTACATTTCAAATAAATGGTTCTTTAGAGATGTGCAAAGAAATTCTAAGATAGACAAATAAATTCTGGGGTATACAAATGACCAGTAAGTGCCAACTGATTAAAAGTCTGCATAGCTGTAATGTGCTTCTTTCTAAGACAGAGATGTTTTGGTTTCTCTGAAAACCAAGTAATTTTAAATAAAACACCCCAGTGAAGAAAAAGAGGCTGATTGTGATAGCAGGCTATAGTACAGGGTTGGTTATAAATTTACTGTTTCAGCATGTATGAAGGCAAAAGTGGTTGTGCCAGCATTATTCTGTTTCAGTACCTTACAATAAACACACGAGGAACTTTAAAGGACCCCACCTTCTGTCACTGTTAAATTGGTTGGTAGGAGGTAGGCTTAGGGATGTTTATATTACAGCATATAACTTCATCTGGGAGGAAATATGCAGGTCTGATTAATATTAGACTCTGCAAAGCCAAACGTATGTCTGATGTACCTGTTCTAAACAGACTTATTGATGGGTCTAGGTAGCAACTTAATTTTGTTCTGGAAAATAAGACGTTCTGAGATCAACTATTGCCTGTTGGTTGTGGGTGATGAGGAAATAAGTCAAATACTTCCATCATGCTAGTTTTTAGAAATAAGTCAGGTTGCATACTTCTGTTACATGTTACCCAGTCTGTTGTGAAGCAGATGAAGGTTTCAAACTTAGTAATTCTGGGTCCACTGCTGCTGTTGAAGTTATTGATAAAGTGCTTCTCTGAAAATGCTGAGGCGGTTGAATTGATTAAGGGAAAACGGCAGCTTTGCTCTGTCAAAAAGCACAAAAGGTAAATGTATGTCACTGTAGAGAATACGTGAGAATTATTTTCTATTTATATTTGAGGCAAAGGTGACATATGTCATATGGACAATGACATATTACTCAAAAAATCAGTGGGATCCCTTGAATTGTTAAGTAACCGTCGATCAGAAGTCTTTGTGATAGAGGACTTACTGAAAAGTCATGTTAGGTAGGCAGGACTTGAACTTGGGTCAAATTTCTGTGTCCTGCATGTGCAGGAAGACCTAAATCAAATTTTTAATTTATTAAGTTTTAAGCATACTTATGTAACTAAGGGTACTGTTGATGCTTTCATAGTTACAAAGTTAAAAAATGTCTGCATTGGTTGAAACCTTATGTTAACAGTCTTTGATTTGTCTATGGAGCTCTATGTGTGTTTTGTTTAGGTTTGGTGGGGTTTTTTTTTCTTGTTTGGGTTTTTTTTTGCAAAATACATGATCATTTCAGTGTGAAGTTCAGAAATTCATGTATTGCATTTAACTGTATAATTAACAGTCTTAAAAATGGTGAGGTGTACTTGCGAATTCTTTGGATTCCTACTTACAGTCTTCCTGTAAAGACAAACATTTGAATTGAATTAAGTGTGTTTATTTTGAATAAATATCTTTGTCTGTGGCAGTGATCTCCCTCCTGAGGCATTGCCAAGCAGATCTCAAGTTTTGAAGAAAATTCTGACAACATTTAAATTTGTCAGCCGTTGTAGGTTCCACTAATAATGTCCCAGAAGGAAATGAAAAGAAGTTTGATGATGGTTTGTGTCCACTGTGGAATGAATGAAAGGACACCAGGAGATGGCCTGAAAACATCCATCATTTAGATGCTTGTCTCCTTACACTCTATCTTCAACTCCATCTATAACTTTGCTTAACGGATTGCCTGCAACCATGAGTACCTTACAACAAGCAGGCTGATTGCGTGAACATGTACTTTATGTTTAGTGTTTTATTAAAAAATACTATTAACATAAAGATTGGTTAGCTAGATGTGTTAAGTGATATTTTTCATGCCTTTTAAAAAAGAAAAGTGAAAAATGTGAATAATTTTTTAAAAACCTGATCCAAAAGAATTAGAAAACCTTACTGGATGGAGTTTCCACTTCTTTTCACTTACTGCTCTCAAAGGAGTGTCAAATTCTGTTTGTTAAAAACCAAAGTGGAAGTAGCTCATGTTCATTCCATGTTAGAGTTTGCATACATAGCAGGGGAGAAAAAGCTGTCTCCTCTATTATGTGAAGTCAAGTGTTCTCAAAACCACATTGGTGGATACGCTTTCTCTGTGGATCAAGTCTGAACACACCTCTCTCCTTAAAATGTTTTTGGCTCTGCAAAACTTGTGTCTGGTTTTGTGTTGTTTCTCTCTGTGTGCGTTGCTGTCTTGCTGACAGCGTGCAGAGGTTCACATCAGAAGGTACTGTCAAGCCTGGGAAACTGGAGGAGAACGGTGGGTTGCAGTTGCAATGTAATGTTTAGTGTAG